AAGAAGCGTGATTTTAATGGTATGATCTTGATGAAAAAAAGTTAAAATAAATGACTGTGGCCTTACTTTGAATATTATCAGTAACTGGCTATATGAAATTTGAAAATGACAACCCTTGGGTACTTAGGTTTCTTATATGTAAAACAGGTTGATAATAACTGCTTATATGGCTGTCTAGAAGATAAATTATATTAGTGCTTTTAAACTTTGTTTGACATAAGAAGCCTTTCTGCAAATGAATGTTTACTCAAAATCTCAATATATATAAGAAATCAAATAAAAGCAGAGCTGCCAAGATTGAAGAAGGATGTCGGGGCCTGGAGCCTTATTTGGCTTTTCTGTCTCTTTTCTAGCTAACTCCACTCTGGCTTTGTACAAAACAGTTTGAAAACTGTAACATTAGTTAATATGTAAAATGGTTTCAAAAAATTTAAATTTAGAAAAGGGATAACACATATAATTTAAACATAAACTATTATTCTTCACTGTTACATTACTTGAACTATTTAGCTGTAATGTTTTAGAAACAGTTTAAGAATAAAATTTCAAAATGTCAAAACTGTACATAAATTTAAACTGTCTACATCTCTTAATAATAGCCTTTAGTAACTATAAAGAAATTTAGTACATTGAAAGAATATCTTTATTAACATTAGTAAGAGTATATTTACCATTTGCTTTTTTTTGGATTATTTGTGGCCATAGTGCTAATGTAACATATATGATCATGAACCATACTGTGACCAAGGGGACAAAGTAATAGAATTGATAAGGCCGATCCATTACTATACATAACACCACTACCAGGAAATTGAGACGAAATAAGACCTATTAAAAAGGAGAAGAAAATGGTTTTCATTACAATTCCAGGTATACATGAAAAGCAAAGACAGATTTTCTCTGGCAGAGTGTTTAAGACTCAAAAACAACTATAGGCATTCAAATTAAAAGTCGTTATGAACTTCATGCTGCCCAAATGACACATCTGCTTGAAGGATTTAATCAGCAGGTAGCAGACTA